GTTGTCTTCTGATAAAGTCTATATGCTTCAGCTCTGTAGTCCTGCTTCAACATCCTCTGCTCCACAAGCACAGTGACATAAACTAAGCACATACTGTTGATCAGTGATCCAATGAAGGTCCAACCATGTCCAAGGTTCCATGCGAATAAAACCAGTCCCCACCACCACAGTTGCTCTCCAAAGTAGTTTGGATGACGGGAGTACTGCCACAACCCCCTCTCAAGATTAGCCACTATAGGCTTTCCAATCTCTTTTAGCTTCTGATTTCTAGTAACAAAATCATGCAGTTGGGTATCAGCAAAGTATGCAATGACAATGCCACACAAACAGACTGCAGCAGCAACAAAATCCGAAAGGTTCAAGGGCTTATCGACAGCGTGAACCGCATACAATGGGAGACAAACTCCTATCAAGAAAACCTGCAGAATTTAAGTAAGCCATTTAGTTACAAGAAAACGCATGTTTCTGTGTCCAATAAAGCTACTCTCTCCTATTTTAATTTTCCTCAACGTGTTCAAATCAACACTTAGCAATGTACAAATCTGGTTCAGGCAATTCGTCGAACACTTGATCCAAATAAGAAAAATGGCCGCTTTAACCATTAAAAGGACAAACCTTTACCATATAAACCAGCCGTTTAACTAACAAAATTACCTGCTGAGAAACGTAGACGGCAAAGAACGAAATCCACCACCATTGTTTTCCATATTGTCGGCTCATATCGGTGAACCTCCAGTCTTCCCTGGCACCCCACTGCCACTTCTCTCGCCGGAAATAGTTATGGGTGAGCCTAATACTCCATACCCATGTCAGCAGTATCACTATCATGGATCTCCACGAGTTGTACTGCGCCAGAGGGTGCGTTGCATAATAATGAGCCAGCAAAACTGGGATCACAGTCCAATACAAATCTATCATCTGCAGCAAGCAAAACCAACCAACAACTAAGAAAAAAAAAAAAACTTTTAACCAAACAAAACTGAAAAAAGACAGAGATAGGACAGACCCAGTGGCTGGATTGGAAATGGCTGATGACCCAGAAGAAGACATTGACGTTAAAGAAGAAGAAGAGGTTGGCTAAAAGCAGGGGGTGGTGAAAACACCATGACCAAAGAGGGGAGGTAGAATTGCGATCAAAGTGGTTGAGGAAAGAGAGGTAGAAGAGGATTGAGGGGAGAGGAACCAGAATTGCAATCACTGCGTTCGTCAAGTTCCTGCCCATCTTCTGATCTGAGTATTCTCAGCTTGAGGTTTCTGGGCAATAGAGGCCTAATTTTATAGTTGCACCTTGACTTGACCTGCCCAGGAATGAAGCTGAAATTTCTGAATTTCGAAAAAAATATGTTTGAAATTCAACAAAATTTTTTTTTTCCATTCTTAACAGCCAGAGCCAGCAACAAATTAGATGGCTCGAGTCATGACTTGCATATTTATGCTGTGTTTGGCGTTCTTTATTATTTAAATTATTTATAATTATTTTTTATTGGAGGAAAAGTGGAAAACACTATTATTACTTTTTACTAATAATTTTTTAAATTTGTTAAGGAAAAAAATGTATTATAAACAATATAAAAGAGAAAACCTATTTTATTTTTTAATTTATTTTACTTGTATATTATATAATTTTATTTTTATTTTTTGTATTAAAAAAAATTATCAATGAATTGTAAGTTTGTTGGCAACAATACAAAAAATAAAGACTATCTACCTGACTCTTGAAGTCTTAGACTATTTAATGTTATTAAGGAAATGAATTTTACTTTGTTTACAAAGGTTTGATTTAAGTGTTTGAAGAAAATATTTTTGTTGATTCCCTAAAACACGTTCCAATATATATGTTGGTGAGTAGGTCTTAATACAATGACCGTTCAAATTAAAATCACATGCAATAGTTAATAAATAGAATAACTCATCTCATATATAAAGACATATCTTTTTTCACTAATGTTCAAATTCTTAATATTATTAGTATTAGCCAACAACCAACTTAATGGTTTTTTTTTTTTTTTGTAAGAGTAAAAAATTTTGAGTTTAAATTGCCCAACATGCGAATGGGTAGATTAAAAGATAAAAAAAGGGTTCTTCTCATTGTACAAGTCAAGCTTTGGAAAAAAAAAAATATATTAATATTATAAGAAGAGTCTCTTGATCAACAAGAGCTTGGTTAAGTTGATATCTATGGACTTAAAAACCTTAATTTGGAGTTAAATTTAAAGATTCAAACCTTTATAATGTTAAACGACTAACCTTTTAATGTAAAAAATTAAAAAAATTCCTTACAAAATATGAATTGTTACATAGAAAGATAGTCTTTAATATGAAAAAATTTATCTCTATTTAATAGTTTAAATTATATATATTAATATAATTTGGAAAGGAAAACACTTTATTGTTAAAAGAAATTAACATTTTAAAAATAGAAGAACGAAAAAATGATGAGGAAAGATTAGCATGTCTGCATGGTGGCTTTTGTGTTTCGCCTTCCAAGGTCCATGGTGGATTATTCCCAATCACAATTAGGGCCTCCCGGATGTATAGTGCCCTTTAGTTGTTTTTTAGATTTCACTAAAGGTCTTAATCATTCTGTGATTTATCTTTTAAACTCCTACCAACCATAGATGAGTGAGTACTTATCTGTCCCTAGTCTAATAAATCTTAATTTATAAGTTTAATATAAAAAAGGGTTGTTTTATTTTGTATTCATAAGTTGCAGGTTAAAAGTATAATAAATCCATATTTTTATAATTAATTTACATAAAGATAATAAAAATTGACTTGAATTTAATTAATTGACTAATTAAAATTATTCATTTGACATTATCACTAAAATAAAAATTCATTTTTATTGTTTTTATATAAATTAATTATAAAAAATATATTTATTACACTCTTAACTTGTATTCTTATAATACAAATTAGACAAACCCTATGAAAAAAACTTGATCCATAGAAACCTAAAATGAGTTCAACATAAGGGCTTAAACTTTTGTAAAGATAGGTAAAACAGCTAAGCTTATATATATTAAACAAATAATTTCCTAAAGTTTTCACAAATTTCAAACATTATAAAAACTCAAAAAAAGAAAAAAAAAAATGCACCCATAAGATGTAGTATATGATATTGGTATTCCAAAGCAAAAACCATTGGTTCTGGACGAGATTAGGATTGTCCTAGCAATTATTAGCAAGTGTGTAGTCTGAAAATGCCAAAGTGGATTGAGGCAATATTAGACATTTATTTACGAGGGCTTAATGATGTTTGCAAGCTGCGGTGGTGTGCTTAATCATTGCCGAACCCACTCACATGGCCCCTCAATCTTCCATGCTTACAGCAATCTGCGCAGAAAGCTAGGGAGCAGCGGCCAAACTGTACGGATAGCACGCATGCGTTGGGGCTTGGGAGGGACCATCTTCCTCGCACTAACGGCTCCTCATTACTTTATGAGCTTAAAAAACAGAAGGTTCATCCATCCATGGCTAAGATAATCATGCATGGGTCGGAGCATGAAAGTTTTGTTAAACATGATAAAGCTTGAAAGATGATGCTGGTAGCAGACTAGACGATCACAAACCAATTTAAAAAGGAGGGGAACACAAAAGACAACCCAATTTCAACCTAAAAGTAATATCCCACCTGATGATAGGGAATGCAGTTCCAAAAAGCTAAGAAAAATTAAAGAAAATGGGAAAGCTAGAGATGAAGATCCTTACGAAGAGTTGATGAAAGTAGCACAGCTGGTTTGAGCTAGTGGGTGAGTCAAAGAGGCCTGTTGTCATTTGGAATGTCATTTTCTATTGCTCTGCTTGGTCTTGCTGCTTGCAACCCTCAAAAGGCTCATTGTTATTTGCAATGCCATGCCATTCTTTATACTGGCAGTTGACTTGTTCTTGTGGCTCTAAAAAGAGTTGTTGCCACTCGCAGTGTCACTCTTTATTGCTCCCTGAATCCATTTAACAACCAACCACTGGAAGAGGGAAAGACAAGTATGAGAAACATATTCATTAATGAAATGCCACTTCCATCAAAAGAGAAAGTAATGAACTATGGAAACCTCACCTGAACCCCAAGAATATGGGGGATCCATGTTTTCCCCTTGTTGTTGGGTCCATCTATCAACTTCTTCTCAACTACGATGGCTTGGCTTCTACTTGTGGTGACGCTTGTGATTGCTTTTACCAAGTTTGGAATCCAAACATCACCATTTGGAAGAATCTAGATTTAAGTGAGTTGTTATTCCAGTAACCAAGACACTTAAAATGTACTGAAGTACATAAATTCAGAACACAGATACTAAACCTTCTCATCTTGTCCATTTTTGTTGCATCTCAAACTATTTTCAACCAAGACAACTGGAATGGCAAAATGCTGCAGGCAACAAAAGGCATGAAACATTTGAAAAGGTAATCAGAGCATTGTAAGCATACCATCAAAAATGAAAATGACTCAAAAATTTTTAAAATAGCAACTTCTCCATGTACAAATTGTAGTCCATTTATAAACTGCTAAAGTTTCAGTTATTGCTTTTCCATGACTATCAGGTGCTTCAACTACAAAATCCTGGACATCCATCTCATGAAAAACTCTATGATGCTATTAAAAATTCTAGATAGAAAGACTGTGATCCTCTAACCCAAAGGTTCCAAATAGTAATTCAGGGCTTTATTCATTAGCCAAGTCTAGATAACACAATATCATCAATCTAACATCTCAGAGTTTTAATCAGGAAAATAAAGTTATCTTCAAAAATGCTTTCCTTTCTGGTTCTCCTGAGTGTGATGACCTCCCTTAATAGTTAATCCATCATTTATATTGAGGCTCATCAATGTGAAATGTAAGCCTAATGTCACTCTTATTGGCAAGCATTGATCATGAAGCCTGTTTTGCTTTTCTCTTTCTTCTTCTTATTATTTTTTTTCTTTCCCTTTTTAACGAGCATGCGTCTGTGGCCATTTTTACTCCACAATTTAACATATGAGTTCTATATGTGGTGTCTACTTACATAAAAATATGTTTCATTCTATAAAGCATGAAACTGGTATCTAGATATTTTATCACAAGCAAATCATGGCTATAACTCCACGCACTTGACACATCGCAGGTGCTAATCTGAGATTCAAACATTGTAGGCGGAGAAGCCATACACATCTATCATTTCCTAATACGTGGCTGCCAATCTGCCTCTCCCCAGTATGTGAGACATTAACAAAGTTACACTTTACCCTGCACGTTCACAACTTTCAAGTGACAAATAACATGAATAATGAGGGCATTATATGATTTGAACAGAAAATATAAACTTGTCACTTTATGACAGCCAGTCCAATTTTGTTAACTTGTATAAATTTCTCTTCAAACAGGAAAACTTTTACAAAGAAAATATATCTCAAAATCATTTTTCCGAATCTGAGCTCCCAAACCAACTGCCTGTAGGACAGCCTTGGATCTTTTAGAGAAGAAATCACTATAACTTAGCCCATCTGGTAGGCGAAGTTGAGCATGAGTGAGCACAAGCAAACTTCTGCACCATATTTTTTTTCCAAAAGCATCGGTGATATTTCTAATGATCTGCTTATCTAATTCATGCACTCTATACGAATCCAAACGATCAACATAAAGCAAAACATCTATGGTCTTATTCAAAAGAAATCTGCATCAGAAAGCTTTTTCCATTAATAAAAGGAACCAAACTATATAATGCAAAAAACCTTAATCCTAAATGAATAATTCACATGACATGAATACATTAGTTAAGCAGCACACGAACACTAACTTAGACCATGTAATTCTAGTACCAACCCTTTAATCAGCTCAATAGCTTGGTAATTGATATATCCACCCTCCACAAGCCCAGGTGTGTCAATTATGTTCAATGTGAATCCTTCCCATGAACGTGAAACCATCATTGGCCTAAGCCCCTCCAACTGCAAAAGAAACAAATAATGAAATTTCACCCAAAAAAAAAACTAGACAACAAAAGAGAGCAGCTAAGCAAAAACAATGTACACCTGAAAGGAACTGACTCTGAAAAACTTGCTCTCCTATAAGAGAATTGATGGTGGAAGACTTCCCAACACCGCCTTTGCCCATAACCAGGATGGTTAAAGTGTCCACATCCTACAATTTGTGATAATTACAACCATGGATATTGAAGTACAGCAACCAGATAGAGTAAAAGGATTAAATAAAAGTTTAATACCTCCTGCTACAATTTGCCCAATAACTCAATCAATTTGATCTTCGTAGCAACAGGGAACTGCTGAAGGCCGACCCTTTCACGGACTGGAGGGGACGCCATGTATTCGAACTCTACAAAACATAAATTCCATCAGAAAAATGCAAAATTAAGCCATACAAAAAATGAAATATAAAAGCCTGTTATGGCATAAACCCTGAACCCTGAAACCAAACGGCATTACGATTACATTCTCGAGCAAAATTCAGATGGAATAAGAAGAAGAAAAAAAAAATGGCGAAATTCAGGTTTTACCAACTTCTGTGAGGCGGCTACGAGAGGAAGAAGCAAGAGAAGAGAATTTGGCGGTGGATTTTTGGGCAAAA